CTGCTTTTTCTTCCATTTCATCGTTTTCTTTTCAGGATTAATGAGTTTTTCAGAACTCTCTATTCTCCCTCTTAAGGTACTTGAACCCATATTAAAAACATATTGTATTTTTAATAAATTAATTCTTATGCCTATCAATTTATGTATCTTTCCACCAGATCTAAATTATTTGTATCTTCAATAATGTTCCTTTCCTGTCAAGCGCAGCCCACTGCTATATACTATTATTGAAGCATAATGAATAATTGAATGCAATATAATTAAAATGTGATTATTGTACTCAGCCTGTTTTAATAATTGGCATGTCAAAGTAAAATTTCACCCCCAAAATAGTGACGGTGAAAAGTTTTACACTTATACATATTTTTTACTAGGTACTTTGAAGTCTTTTCATAGAAACTTCCTTATTATTCACTGGTGTGGATTGCATCATATTACTACTTTAATAAATATCAATCCACAAGTTTTAAAACACATGATACCTTAATCTATGATTGAGGTGCAGGAGATCCTGCCTTGAGGTTGAGAGAATAGAAATTGAAAATGGCATCTCAGTTTCATACATAATTCTTGAGAAGCCTCTGGAATTAATGTAAAGGAGTATGCTGTATGCAAGTATGAAGAAAACATTTGCTATGGTTCTGAGTTTCATTTAACACATATTGCCTTCCTGATGACTAAATCAGTGAAGTCCTTTGCTGGCTCGTAGACATTAATACTTATTTAGTGTTTTAATATTTTACTGTCACTAGAAGTAGTATTCTCTCATATAAAAAATCTGAAATATTAATGTGCATTCAGTAGGATCTGGCAGTTCACATTCTTCACTTCAGTGCTTCTGTCATGGAGAGAAACTTCAAATATTCTCTCTAACTGATGAAAATGACAATACCATTTAAAAGGATAAACTTAGGATAGAAAGTTTCTTTAATCAAAATTCTTCTAGTGGCATTCATCAGATTTTTTGACAGAATTAGGGTCTGGAAGAAGGAACAAAATTTTTACTGAGTGATTTAGTAGTAAATCCTGTCCTTGTTGCACAAAAGACACTTCCTGAAGTTTCCAGAGTACAGCAACAGAAAATACTAGCATGGTGAAAGCTACGTGCTAGTTTATAATGTTCTAAAAATGAAAGCAGTTTCTGAAAGTCTCATTCCAATCTAAACAAGCCAGGTGATGCATATACATTTTGATTAGTAAGCGCTACAGTAACATTTACTAATTCACTTTCACAAAGAAGACATGCCCCAAGACTTGCTTACCTTTTGGCTATATAAAGACATTGCAGCACTTCTGGCCAAGCCAACACACTCCGTCTTTCATGCAAACAATATATCTTTTACCTTCTAAGTAAGCTCAGCAGCTTGATCAATACAGAAGGAAATATGCCGTGGAAACATTAATTCTAAAACATTACCTCTCACTCCATGGCAAATTCATATGAAGGTTAGCAAAGACCTTTTTCAAGTCCTTCTACTTAAAGTGAATACTAGGCACAGCAGCTAAATCTCTGCTAATTAAGTAAGTATGTATGGGACTGCTTGTTGACGCTATAGCCAACTGACAAGGGCCACAACATATTCATACGTTGAGAATCTCAAGCACTGGCTGGGCATCAGCTGGCAGGTGGTGAGAAATTACATTGTAAATCACTTAATTTGTAAACGTATGTATAAATATATGTATTATATACGTATATATATATATATATATATATATACACACGTATAATTACCATTACTCCTATTTCTCTCCTCCTTTTCCATCTTAGCAAATAGTTTTTATCTCAACCTATTATTTCTATTTTTTTTTTCAGATTGTCTCCCCACTTTCCACTGGGAGGGGGGAGCAGTGAGTGAAAGGCTGTATGGTGCTAAGCTCTCTGTCAGGTTAAACCACAACAAGGACATTCATATGAAAACTGCTCATTAGAAAACATTCCTTCAGCCATGAGAAGTCTAAGGTCTAAACTAGTAAACTAGGAACTGCATGGGTGAGTGCTAGGTAGTGTATTTGGTACAAAATCCACGGTGATCATGCAAAAAATAGTTAAGAATAATATTCTTAATATTGTTTTGATTGTATCCCTCTATTTGGGAATGTTCTGTGATATTTATTCCAAGTAAATGAGTAGCCTGAACAATTTGAATTTAAACAAGAATATGGAAATAAACCCACTCAAGATACAATGAGTAATAACACTCCACTGCAAACTGAATGAGTATCTTCCTGGATTTATCTCTGCCCAGTGACATATGATTATCTCTACTGATGGAGAAGCACAGAACAATGCTGTCTTCCCAATATTTCCGAAAAGAATGACATGAACTCAGGAGCTCCTATGGAAGAACAGTAAATGTAGAAAAGGGAACACCACAGTAGAAGAGTCCAGATTTCTTTTCTCCACATTTTTCATTGGGCTTCTGAAGTTACCATGCTATATATCAATCTCTGTGAATTTAGCCTTCAGTTTTAGCATCCAAATTATTCTCCAAGGAAACGAATTTATAATAAAAGTAGAATGTGAGGTACAATAGAAGGGAAGAAGTTTGGAAGTGATCACAAAGTAACAATCTAAATTTTTTAAAGTTGCCTCTGCTTAGGTAATATCCATGGAGAAAATGTCTTGTACAAATGCACCTGGACACTTACGGCAGAAAAGCTGAACAAAGACTTAACTCACTACAGAGGTTCAGTGTAGTAATAGTAATGGGAAGCTGTTTTTCCTGGTTTTACTTGCTGTAATTTTTAGTGAAAGAAAGGATAAGTCCAATATAATCTGCTGCAGAAAGCTAGAAGATGATGAATGTTAACATCCTGATGTTGGAAGCTGTAATTTCATTGCAGTGATTTTTCAACAATTAAAAAAAAAAAAAAAAAGAAAGAAAGAAAGAAAAAAAAAAACAACCCTGTTTGAAACACTTCAATATTTTATGAATGTGATCATCCTTACAGACCATGAAATAATAACTGAATGTGAATAATGAGGTAAACACATCAGTAACACTTTTAGATCACTTAACCAGCAAATGTCCCTATGCTGGATCATCCTATGTTAAAACAGACTGAGAATGGAGGATCTACAGATAGTCTGAAGAGCTAAATGATAAGAAAGAATAGCATCTTTGCATTCTTTCCTGCACCAGGAAGGTGCTGGTTCAGTTTTTACAGCTTTATGGCCTGCATTCTGGCTGACTGGTCAAGCCCTACTTTTATGTAACGAACTTCTGCTACATAGTTGAAAAAAAAAAAAAAAAAAAAAAAAAAAAATACCCTACATTAGTACACATGAATGGGATAAAGAAAAAGAGGAAAAAAGAAAAATGGCTAAAAATGAGTGAATTAGAAGAGTATCAACAAAGTAAGATGGTGGAAAAAAGGAATAGAAGAAATACTTCTGAATTAGAAAAAAGTACACATCATAGGTGCAAAGAGAATAGTAGAATCTTTGGATAAAGTCACAAGAAGGAGTTGTCCTCGCTCTTACAGGCTTAAATCTTAAGAGAAGGTGCTAGGTGGTTATTGTTTTCCATACTGAAGTCCTGAAGTAAACAGAGACTACCTTTAAAATAAAAAAAGCATATGCCACTAGCAACATATTTCATATCTCACTAAGAGTGACTGTGTCGTAAGCACAGCGGTTCATATTACCTCCTGAGTGCAATGCTTTCACAGAGTGAATAGTTGCTTCTGTTAATTTTATTCCTAGAGTCAGTGTTTGCACACACTTGGTAGTTAACCCCAGTCATCCTCTGTCCAAACTAGTTGTATAAGAACACCTTTGACTTTTCTATTTCTGATTGCTAGCAGAGGTTTTTTATTCAGATTAAAAATTTGGTTTCTTATTTTTGAAGTCTCTGATGTAAAAAGCTTCCATATTTTACTGAGTTGTTCCATCTGTAATCTGCCCTATAGAGTGCCCTATATTACCTATAAAAACTAGAAAATGTACCATGTATGTCAGTACAAGGTCTTCCCAAAGGGACACGCTTCTTTAAAATATTTTTTTCATACTTCTTGATATTAGACTCTGCCTGGATGAAAAGTAAAATCCAAATTGCCTCATACAAAAAAAAAAAAAAAAACACAAAAAAACACCCAACACCTAGTAAGAACAACATGGCAAAGCACTTCAGATGAATGGGAAGAGTGTTTTCATCTCTTTTTTCCTTCCCTCTCCCTCATGTTTTAGATTTAGAAATGCTGAACATCTGGAAGATTATTTTTCAATGTTTAAAAACAGAGAGAGTATGTATTAATTTTGAATGAAATCAGAAAAAAATAAATACAATGCACTGTAATGGATCTATTCAATTTGCTACTCATCGATTTACCTTTCAGAACATTTAATTAGTTCTCCCATTTCCTACAGTTAAGGTAAAGTGAAACAATTAGAAAAATGACAAACATTTTTAGAATGGTATTTCATATTTTAATGACTCTCTTAGTGCAATCTTAGATTTAGCAGAGGGCTGTTAGTTAGGCTAGTATGGTTAGGATGTGGTTGGATTCAATGATCTTTAAGGTCTTTTCCAACCTGAGTGATTTTATGATTCTATGATTCTATGATCTTACATTGCAACTGTGAGTTGCTTCAACACATTAGAAAGCAACAGAACTGATCTGTATTTCTTTTAACTCCTCAATTAGAAAAAGAAATGTTCTAATGATTGAATGTGCCTGTAAAGCAAAGCCATAAAACTCTTTTTTAGTAAAAAACACATACCGCATTATGGAGAAATGAAACAGTTTCCCAGGTAAAAATCAGTTCATTTCCAATTTTATCATGCTTTTTGAAAACATTTCTTCTAAATTTATCTAATTTATCAGTATCTAATGACTTCAGGACTTATAATATTGATTCACAGGGACAAGATTTGACAGGAACAAGATTGTCTTTCTGCAAGGCAGTCACATGGAATTTCTAGTTCCAGTGTAATCTTCTGGCTTCTCAACTGGTCTGACAAAATGGTAATTTATTTTATATTTTTTCATCATACCTTGAAAATTTTGCACATTATCTCATAGACTGAAAAGGTTTTCTCAGCTCGTGTCCAATCCCAGGTTGTGACCTTGGAAAAAAAAAAAAAAATAGAAAAAAGAAAAAAACAGGTAAAGAAATCAAGTTATTATTCTTCATTTCAGTAGTTCAGTTTATTAAAAATAAAAATAAAAAAATCGATCCCTAAAATTTTCTACCCTTTACATCTAGTTTAATGTACATAGAAAGGGCAAGCACTACCGCAGAGCACAAACTACCAGGGACCAGTGCTGAAAAGATGTCTATCTCCTTGCTCTTTCAATGGCTTTTCATGCAGGCTAATCTATGTGGAATGAACAGGCTTCCCTGGGAGCCTCCTATCTGTGCTGGTGGGGGCTGCATTGAGATCGCAAAAGGTGCAGCCCTTTAATTGTTCTCACAGAACCCTGACATGTTTCTCCCCATTTCTGTTGTTATAACAGAATTTCTTGTTATACATACATTGTTTGCAGAGGCCCTAAAACATAAAACTGAAGTTTCCAACCTTGCAGTGTCCTAGACACTTATCACATGTGCTTGCAATCTAGGTGAAAAAGCTAACAAGAAAGAGCAAAGGTAAATATACACTTTTTTTCTTACCAGTGTGAATCTGCTCTTAAATTTGAACACAGTAAGATTTGAATAACAGTCTGTTTCTCCACATTCTCACAATTTTTGCAATTGCTTTTAACAGTATTTATTTTAAGCAATTGTTTTTTAAAAAAGCCTATAAATAACTTTTCTAGGAAACTGCAAGAAGGAAAGAGGAGAATTAGTCACAGTCTCAAAAGACAGAATATAAAACAATCAAAAAAAAAAAAAGGAGAGAGAAGAAAAACTGAGGCTCTATATGGAAAAAAAAAAAAAAATCTTAACAATAAGAATTACTGAAGAGTGCCTCAGCTTCAAAGGCTCATAGTTATATGGCAAGACAAAAGAGTTGAGGAAGTAGTATAGTCTGTTTTTTAAAATTTAATAATATAAAGCTTTTTGAAAAATATCATCAAATTGTAGCCACAGCTACACACCAAACAATTCATCTGTTTCTCATTCAGACAGAAAATGAAATGATCTCTCACAAGGAACAGAGAAATGGGGAGTTGAGTTTTGCTACAGATTCACTGAACACAAAGCACCAGCCAGAGAAGTGTCATTTTGCCCTGCCCCATTAGGAAAAGTAACCACTATTCCTGTTGAAGGCCACAGCTACTTGAAGTTTTGTTTAGAAGGTCATTGCAAGCTCCATGCTTTGGAAAAACATATGAGAGCTCCCCCTTCTTCATAAGATTTCTCACAGAATCTTTAGAAATTGCCTGTCCTGATCACCAGTCTGCCAAGAAATCTCAGAAAGGTAATTAAATTTTAAGATGTAAATAAGATATGTTAGAACTGATCATGCACCTGAGCATGGAGAGGCGAAGTGCTATCGATCACATAGATAAAAAAATATAGCAAGGGGAGGCAGCTGAGGTATACTATTTAAACACATGCCTCCTTCAGGAGTTAAACAGAACAATAGTTTCATTTAATTTTCTGGTTAAAATGTTGGCAGATCTGTTCAGAAACAGCTTAATCCAAGAAGCTTACGCTAGAAATATAATTAAAATTATTTTTCTTCCTATAACAACATTTACATGTTACATAATTAGAAGCTCCAAAATTGCAGCCTTGAAAGTTTATTCTTAATCTTTTTTAATCCCTGGAACAGATGAATGTACATGCCCACAGAACAGCAAACAATTGTACATGTAAAAGTTTGCATAGAGAATGTCCTTCTAAAAAGCCTTCTGTAGTCTTTGAGAAGAAAATTTTTCTGGGCATTTAAGTGTACAAGTATTATATAAATGGTTTTAAGCACCTCTACAGAAACTTCTTCCCCAGATTGTCTTTTAAAGAGTTCGTTTGTCATTATTCTTCCCTCCTACACAATGGAAAGAAATTGTTTTCTTTCTGTTTGAACTGTCTTCCTATTTTAGAATAAGAACCAGAGTCTGTTATATTTTTCATAATTAAATTATGTTTTGCTCACACCTTATCTGAAACAAGGCCCTAATAAAGACTTTGAGATCAGCCTTGTCTCATAAAGCAGCAGCTTGACAGAACTGTCCTAGCTCACAGCACTGTGGTTCACATCTGTACTATAAATATGTTCTTCCCATAGTCATTTACCCACAAGCAACATATTACTTCTCTAAACTAATAATAAAAATGATATTGTATATAGATAGAAATAATATAACAACAAACTCTCGGTAAATAAATTTGTAGTTTCTTCCACACTGCTTACAAAAGAATAATCTTTTTCTTTTGAACTGAACAGGAACATTTAGCATTGTATCTAGAAGGGAGATAGAATTGTGAATGAAGAATAGTGTGGACACTTGCCATCTAAATTTGAACTACCTCCAACAGAAAGGATCTACGGCCCAAATCAGGATAACCACTAAACTCTTAGTACTTCCTGTATGGGTCTGCTGCCAATTCCTTAGCTACTGGCTTAAAACTTAGCTAGAGGATATGTGTGTTTCCTGCAGCTTAGACATGCCATAAAACCATGAAATTAAACTGCTGATTTTGAGACAGTAGATGAAATTTTGCCCTTTCTTGTCAGTCAGATTCCAATTAATATTCAACCTGAACTGCCTCATTTGACTCCCTACTTTCCTTTTGGTGCTCTCAAACTGCACAGAAGTTATATTCAGGATAAAAACTAAAGACAGAGATATTGCTCTGCAGGCTGTGCCATTTCCACAGCCTGCAAAAAGCTTCAGTATTACCCAAAATCTCAGCAGTTTGCATTCAGAATGACAGTTCAGTTTAAATGTAACCAACTTGCTTCCAGCTTGTTTTGCTTGCCAAAGGGAAATGAAAAGCCCCCTTGTAGTACAAATAGCTTTCTCATGTATTTTTCTAAGTGTTCAGGTGACTGAGGGGAAAAAAGTATTTGTTAGCTGCACAGTAATCTGATGAACAGTTATTTTCTGTCACTTTTATAATACATTTCTCTGGAAGTTTTCAGTGCTCTAAGTTACAATGCCGTTAACAAAATGAGCGCTCAGTGTGAAAGCCTGGTACGTGTTACATGAAATCATTTTATTTAATAACATTTATGCCCACACAGCATGAGAAATCTACTTACTGGAGGTGCCATAAATTTATACAGAGAAGATCCCCTCAGTGCTAGAAACTTTGGTGTATACATTCGATCCTGAAGGGAGTCTTGTTCCCGTTCTTCCGTCCAGCCCATGTAGACTATCTGACAAAAAAAATCAATAGTGTTGACAAATTCCTCAGGCAATTTCTTCAAATCAATTGCAAATACTTTGTGCAAGTAAGCTGATGTCTGTCAAATCTTACAGAACTACAAATCTTGAACCACTGACACAATGTGATATATTGGCAGTTCACTTATAATCACATGAATGCGTAAAGAAAACCTGTTACAACAATCAAAATATAAGAGAAAATGCATTTATTGCCCTAGCAACAACAAAAGAGCTAAGCCACATACCTAACAGATGTCTATTTTTTTTTTTTTTATTATCTCATTAAGAGCTCTCTAAAGGAATTCTAAGTACTTGCAGACCAATCACATCAGAAAAAATATAATGCAAGTGAAATGTAGGGAGCCAGTAGGCAGGAATACAAAATGAAGAAGAATTAAGATACAAGACTGACAGATAAATACATGGGATTTTGTTACAATATGGCAAAAATAAAGACATTCTGGAGCACATTTTGTACTTGTACTTAATATATTCAGAAATTAGTTATAAACATTTCCAGATACCTGCATAACTGAAAAAAAAAAAAAACCCCACAAAAAACACAAAAAACTACTATACTAATTAATTGAAATAACATTTCAATCTCAGAGTATGGATTTAGAAAGGAATGCTGCAAAGTTTTTAAAGATTAGTTGTTTTTTTTTTTACTTCAGATCACATGGCATGTTTATAAATATTTGTTCAACTACCTCTAATTTGATGATCAAAGAAACTTATAAAATTTCTTCAAAGAGAAGATATAGCCATGCCTCAATACTCAAGGATTAAGCAGTACTCAACACTATATTGTCATGCAATAATTGAAAAGCCATGCTCTCTAAAATCTTTTTCATTCCTGAATGAAAAATACTCAAGAATACAGTCCAATAGGTACAGTGAGAGAAGCTTTAAATTATTTCAGTTCAACAGTTACTCATATTCTCCTAATTTCTCCTGTTTTGTATGTTATTCAATGCAATAAAGATAGGTAGCTCCATTCCTCTGACTTGATAGGAGTCTGTGCAGCTTATTGACTGAGAGAAGCTACACATGGGAGTAAAATTAATATAACAGTGTACTATTATTTAGAGAAGTATATTTTTCCTCTGTAATGAAAAGAGAATGAATGATCTCTGATTTCTAGGCATTCAGACAACTTTACTTTTTAACTAATTAATTCCGTGCCATCTTTGATTTGTTTCATTAGAATTGGATATAGTAAGATATAATCTTGTCTGATTAGATTTCGTATCACTTTTTCACAGTGTGTAACCTATGTTCATTTAGGTTGTTTTCTTTTTCCTCACTTAATCTAAGTTTCTCCTACATCAGAATAACAGCGCATAGTCATGCATGATGTACAGATGCACTGATATTTCACATCTGATTGCCTTAATACTAAAGCAGCCATAAAATTTAAAGCAATTGCTCCTTTTGATACTGCTCCGTTGCCTCCATAGATCACAAGGAGAAATTTGATTGATTTTTCAGACAACCTGATACACTAAGGTTTTATTAACAAAACTCATTTCTCTTTCAGGCTAAATATGTACTCTTAAACATCCAGCAGAACTCTTAAGCAAAAGCTGTATGACTGCAATTAGGAACAGTTACATAGTTGTTTAAATGCACAAGTGTATTCACATGTGGATTAAAATAACATTGGATAGATTCTGGAAAACAGGGAAAAAGCTACAAAGACTTGATAAGTATTTTAACTGCATGCTCCTACAATGGTCTCAGTTTATCTAAATAAACTGAACATGTGATGATAAAGCGTGGTAGTTTTTACATAATCAAGGTGAGAAACTGTTGAAATGTTTTCCCTCATGGGATAAAATTGAGGCCACTTTCTTAAAGCATTTATGTTACTAATAAACATTCTGACTTCTAAAAAAGTTTTGGCAATAACCTCAAAAAAGCTATTCATTTGGAAAGGGATCAGAACATTTCAAACTAATGGCTCATATATATATATATATATATATATATAAACACTAACATTTTGGATGAATATGAAATTTGACTTAAAAAGCTGAATTTGATAAGATTCTATCTAAAAAGAAATGTTTATTACCGTGGATACAGGATGTATGTGGAACCAGAAATAGTGCACAGAATGCCCATTTTACACATTTAAAAATGAGGGCAATTTTTTTAATCATAGAAATGTTTCTGTATAAACTGCTGGCCATTATCAACAATAGTAAGAAAATAAAAACAAACAAACCCAATACATTTTATTTGTGATAACATCCCAGTTTATTTATTTATTTCCCAGTCCCGGCAGTTTCTAACTTACCTGCAGCAGCTCATTCTTCAAAATCAAACGCTGACATAAACCAGTTAATTTAGTGGCTGCTGGCTTACTAATAAAGATTCAGTAAGTTATTACTGTTTGTGAGCTGAATCATGTTCAGTTGAAAGAAGCTGTATTTCTATGAAACAGCATGCTCTCTTCAATCAAAAATTCATAATCTCCCTGTCCTTTACCTCACATAGATATCCCAGGCAAAAAGAAAGTAAACCACTAATTGCTGTATTTCATATCTATTCAAAATACAGCTTAAATTTCTTAATTAGCCCTACTAAAAATCCTTTTTGGCTTTAGAGACATCTCCAGAGTTTTAACATAGTCTTTATCATATTTTAGGAAGGATGGTAAAATAAAAATAGTATAAATAAGATAAAATTTCTTAGAAACAAAGTGTAAAATTTATGCTATTTTTAATGTGAGGCCATTCAAAGATTAGAACAGATGTACTGACAGCTTTCTATCATGGAAGTCTCATATTTATACTCATATAGCAGTTTTAGTATACTTTTTCTTGTATGGTAATTTCAAAATTCTTTATAGGAAATTGTTATCAGGTTAAAAAAATCCATTTTTTTAATAAAGATAAATAAATATTCTGCAAATGAAAGGCACAGTATACATCTTGCTAAGTCTACGGAAATGCATTTATTAAATATGTCTACCTTGTAGCATTATAGCAAAGAAAATGTGTATCAAAGCATCCTGGATGTCTTTTAGTAGTTAAAAAATACAGATTCAAAGTTTGAATTATTTCCCCTTGTGAGTGATGTTATGAACTCTTCATTTTTAAGAATATCCAGAACTCGACTGGGCAAAGTCCTGACCAACATGATTTATGCTGACCCTTCCTGGAACAGGGTTTTGACCAGATAACCTACAATAAATCATCCAACATACATCTGTCTGTGATTCAGAATCGTTAGTATCAAAGCAGTCATATGTGTCTTGGGATCTGTTTCAGAGCATCCAACTTCAGTGTGACTTTTTTTAACAGTGCTGTGGTACTTCCATGGTACACAGGATACTGCATACTAGTATATATAACCTGCATTCTTATACTCTCTTATATAAAAGTCTTCCTAAATTAATTACTCAGAAAGTAAAAGAAATGAGAACAATCTGCAGCTACTTCAAATATTAACTTGCAAACAATGAATCCAAGTACAGCTAGATTGAGAAAGAGAACCACAACACAGCATCACTCTGAGACAGCAAGGTAGAGGGAAACTACTTTTAAATCCCTTCTGGAGCTGAGAAAAACCTTAGGGGATGATTAGATGAAGAACATGATATTCAATAGATTCTGCATGCTATTGTTTTCATGCTTCTATTTATACCTTAATTTTTATCATTAATTTGGTTCTTAAATCTGGTTTTGCTGTGTTAGAATAAAGCTTATTTTCATTTACCTTACTTTTAAAGTGAACCACAGGCCATATGCTTGTGGCCTATGGCAGGGAATTAGTAATAAAGTTCACAACACTTATTGAATTCACATTGCACTTAATTATTTTTCTATGAAAGATTGATACCTGTCAATATGTTACTTTATGTCTGACATATCTCGGTATTTCCATGAACGTTGAGTTTTGAAAAAGTCAGTCCTTTAAGGAGTATTGACTAACAATCATTTTGCGATATCACTACTGTCTTAATTCCATTCCATCAATGCAAAGCATTCCACCATTATGAATAACATGGAAGAATAAAACCCATAAAAGTTTCATCTTCTCCAAAATTAAGATAGCTGTGTTGATCCTACATGAAGCTCTAACTTCAGCGACAGACTCAGAGGCTCTGTATCCCAAGAGAGCTCTGCAGTGTGTTGGCAGTCTCTTCGCCCCCATGGAGAACAATGTAAAAAATCAGCCATGGCAGCCATTTTTGTGGCTGCAGAAGAGATCTTTATGAAATATTTCAAGCCCTGTGAAAAGTGGACAGTTACCTATAGGAAATATCAAACAATTTATAGATGTAGACTTGTAAATAACACTTAGCCAAAAGTTTCTCCCCTCACAGAGCTCACTTCTATTTCAGGATCTTTTTGCATACTTTCAGTAATTCAGACCATTTTTTGCATGCTCTCTTCTCCCATTGTCTTGGGTAGTTTTTGAATAGCAGACCAGCTTGAGCAGGAGAGGTAGGAGAGGCTGCCATACTATCTAATCTATTGCCATAAGGGCAGGCTTTTAGGGATAATAGGTTGGAGTAATGAGTGACTAGTGTGGCTATGAAGCAAGTACTGCAAACACTGGGTTGTTAAAAAGTCATGGAAAGCAGCATGACTTCTGACTGTATTCTTGAAATAAAGCAGCTAGAAATTGCATATCACACTATTCTGATTCTGCTGGACATCAGGGGTACTCTGGGAATATCAACTGGATAGAGTGCATCTGGACACTGAGCCACTTATATGTCACCAGAGCCATCAGTCAGAGACTTGAGAGAAGCTAGATGCCTATCTGGAACTTGTCTGAAAGTTCCCAGACACAGCATTACCTATCTGCTGCTTCAGGGTCTGTTTGCCTCTCCAGGCATGCACAATTTTCCTTATGATTCTATGTGAGTAAAGATGCACATTTTTGGTTCTAAACTCTGCATCTCTGAGAGAAATTTCAACAAGAAAAATTATTTATAACAAATAAATAAATAAATAAATATTTTTTTCATTAG